CGGGCAGTGGGGATGGGGAGTTGGATCAGGTAACCAAGGGTGGGGGTTTCTTGCTAATCTGATCAGCAGGATTCTAGATGAAACTGGATTCTAGAGGAAGTACATGCCTGGGCCTTGTGGGGTGGAGGGCTCAGCGGGGCCAGGCCAAAGTTTGGTCAAAGGCAGAATCGCTGTCAGCACCAACAATGGGTGGACGTTACCTGGTGTTTGACAGAGGTTCCTTGGGGAAAGGAAGTTGGGGCTTGGAGAAAAGGTAGGGTAGTTCCACCCCTTTCCACAGACAAACTTCTCTGTGGGGGTCCCTCCTTTGGGAAATGGATTTATAAATTTTTTTTTTCTCTGAAATTTCCTTTTGGGAAATGTACAGTAGACGTCAGAGATAAACAACAGGGTCGTCCCAGTTTAACTGCACGCCTTGCCATCTTTCACACTATGTATTCCCAAGCAGCCATTTTTTTTTAAAGTTTGAATTTAGGGTGCTACATTGTAAAGAGAGGTGCCTAGGAACCATGCGCTTAGGGGCCTGTGGTAAATCGGTTTGGTCATTGTTTTTCTCTTGGTTGGAGCTTCCTTTAGTGTAAGTCCTATCTGAAGGCGATGGCATCCCTGGGACCAGACCTTGAAGTTCCCAGTGGTGGGTTCTGGCTCCTACAGGTAGCTCGGGGCCCAAGGTGAGTTTGTACAGCCATCCATCACAGGGCTCTGTGCCTCTCCGGGGTCTGGCCAGCACCCAAGGCCTGAGGGGACCAGAGAGAATGAGAGGTGTGAACCCCAGCCCTTCAGTCAGCCAGCTCTAAGAATTAGCCACATTTTACCGTATCGGTTCATTTAGACCTGCTGTTCTCAACCTGCGGGCGGCGACCCCTTTGGGGGTCGAACGACCCTTTCACAGGGGTTGCCTAAGACCATCGGAAAACACATCTATAATTACATATTGTTTTTGTGATTAATCACTATGCTTTCATTATGTGCAATTTGTAACAATGAAATTGGGGGTGACCCCAACATGAGGCACTGTATTAAAGGGTCGCGGCACTAGGAAGGCTGAGAACCACTGGTCTAGAGCTTAGCCTCCCCCATCCCTTTCCTGTGGAGTCTTCTGAATTACAGCCCAGACACGGCATTTCACAGCACACTCTCCTTCTGAGAGCCTGGTGGTATGAGGGGGTGCCCGAACAGCTCTGGAGTAGACACCGGGTTCTCGGGGTTCCATCGGGTTCAGTCGCCAGCAAGTCGTTGCCCCTCTTTGGAGTTGTCTCCCCATTTGTAAAGGGAAGGTTCTGGCTCAGGGAGTGGCCGAGGCCCCTTGTTTGGTAAAGCAAAGCACTGTGGATGGGAACCAGGCCCAGGGCCCCCACCCCCACCCCTGGCTGCCCCACCCTGCACCCCCACAGGCCTCTCAGGCTCAGGGTACCACAAGACAAAGAATAAACAAACAAGGCGAGGTAATTTCCCTCGCCCTGGGAAGCAGAGCTCGGGTGGTCTGCTCCGTGGAGCGGTGTGGAGAGCCCCGAGTGCCAGGTGGAAATGGGCCAACCAGGCGAGGGAGGATCTCTCCCTGCCCTGCGGGGAACATCTGAGGACACTGAGGCCAGATGTGTTGATTTTGCACCCTCCCTGGTGTGATAACATCCCCATCTCCAGCTTGTCTTTACTCCAGGCCAGCCTGGCCTGGGGCGTGCAGCCTGGCCTGGGGCGTGCAGCCTGGCCTGGGGA